ATGTTCATAAATGCAAGGTGTATGTTCATAAATGCGAGGTGTATGTTCTTAAATGCAAGGTGTATGTTCTTAAATGCAAGGTGTATGTTCTTAAATGCAAGGTGTATGTTCATAAATGCAAGGTGTATGTTCATAAATGCGAGGTGTATGTTCTTAAATGCGAGGTGTATGTTCATAAATGCAAGGTGTATGTTCATAAATGCAAGGTGTATGTTCTTAAATGCGAGGTGTATGTTCATAAATGCAAGGTGTATGTTCATAAATGCAAGGTGTATGTTCATAAATGCGAGGTGTATGTTCTTAAATGCAAGGTGTATGTTCTTAAATGCAAGGTGTATGTTCTTAAATGCAAGGTGTATGTTCTTAAATGCATGGTGTATGTTCTTAAATGCAAGGTGTATGTTCTTAAATGCAAGGTGTATGTTCTTAAATGCATGGTGTATGTTCTTAAATGCAAGGTGTATGTTCTTAAATGCATGGTGTATGTTCTTAAATGCAAGGTGTATGTTCTTAAATGCGAGGTGTATGTTCTTAAATGCAAGGTGTATGTTCTTAAATGCAAGGTGTATGTTCTAAAATGCAAGGTGTATGTTCTTAAATGCAAGGTGTATGTTCTTAAATGCAAGGTGTATGTTCTTAAATGCAAGGTGTATGTTCTTAAATGCAAGGTGTATGTTCATAAATGCAAGGTGTATGTTCATAAATGCAAGGTGTATGTTCTTAAATGCATGGTGTATGTTCTTAAATGCATGGTGTATGTTCTTAAATGCAAGGTGTATGTTCATAAATGCAAGGTGTATGTTCTTAAATGCAAGGTGTATGTTCTTAAATGCAAGGTGTATGTTCTTAAATGCAAGGTGTATGTTCTTAAATGCGAGGTGTATGTTCTTAAATGCAAGTTGTATGTTCATAAATGCAAGGTGTATGTTCATAAATGCAAGGTGTATGTTCTTAAATGCATGGTGTATGTTCTTAAATGCATGGTGTATGTTCTTAAATGCAAGGTGTATGTTCATAAATGCAAGGTGTATGTTCTTAAATGCAAGGTGTATGTTCTTAAATGCGAGGTGTATGTTCTTAAATGCAAGGTGTATGTTCTTAAATGCGAGGTGTATGTTCTTAAATGCAAGTTGTATGTTCATAAATGCATGGTGTATGTTCATAAATGCAAGGTGTATGTTCTTAAATGCAAGTTGTATGTTCATAAATGCATGGTGTATGTTCATAAATGCAAGGTGTATGTTCTTAAATGCGAGGTGTATGCTGGGACGAAGGCATGCCTAGCAGCTCCAACAAATTCCTATCAACTGCGCAAAATGCCCAGGAACTTAATGTCTTCTTCATTTCCATCAAACGCGGTAAAATTTCTAAATATTTTCAGCCATTTTTTTGGGAGAGGGACCCAGATATTCCTGAAGGTTTTCTTGCCCTGATATTTGCCTTAGACTGGAGTGCCTTCGTGAACTGCCGGGAGCGTTCTTCTCCTTGAGTCAATATAGGTACACATAGTACTGTTATCTTATCTTGAGATGATTTCGGGGCTTAGCGTCCCCGCGGCCCTGTCCTCGACCTGGCCTCGTTTTTGTTAACACATCCCCAATGAGCAGCTCGAAACAGCTGTTTAACTCACAGGTACCTATTCACTGCTAGGTGAACAGAGGTTAAAGAAAACAGGGTGAAAGAAACTCTGCCCATTTGTTTACCCCTCCGCCGGGGATCGAACCCGGAACTTCAGCACCACGAATCCCGAGCGCTGTTCACTCAGCCGTCAGGCCCCTGCATTATCTAATGAGACTCATCAACATACAGTGTGTTTATACTTTCTTGATCTATTTGTTTTCTCAGAAACTACACTCCAGTTTGTTATTGACTCTGACCGAGAGAGTCAAATCAACAACTCTAGCACGAATCATTTCTATAATTTGAAATATTCACTTGGGAAGGAAGGAACTTGAACAATTAACGCTTTTTCGTTTATTTTATAATTTCAGTCTAAGAGTCGTCAAATTCCTGTGGATCCCCTCCCATGTTGGAATATGTGGGAATGAACGAGCAGATGTGCTGGCTGCTGAAGGCGCTGAAGGAGACCATATTGAATACTTCATACCCAAGACTCTACTACAAATTAGAGGTATTATCAGGCAACATCACCGTGACAAAATAATTGAGGAAAGGAGGATAGAAGCACAAATCGGCCAATCTGTACGATGGTACAACATGGTTGCAGCTGGTAATCCCAATTATTATGGACGAAGAGGAGGTGGATGCAGGAGAGAATCAGTAATAGCGAGAATCTGTCTTGGATACAACTATCCATGGAGATTCGGAATGGAAACAACAGTTGAACAGCGGAGTTGTAGAATCTGTGGTGAGAGTGATGGACTCCGCCTTGACCACTACCTGAGAGAATGTGAACACCTGAGAGACATTAGAAATATGTGTAGAATAATGAACCCCACATTGGTTAAGTTAGGAAAACACTATTTGTCAAATATTGATACTGTTCTTAAAAGATTCCCCCATTTTGCACCCGCAAGATAACGTAAGATTTTAAGGGTTGACAAATGTTAATCTTCTTGTTTGAGGAGCTGTTCACTTGAGACAGTTAAGCAAGTCCCAGCTGTGTCTGGGTACAAGTGACAGGATGAACAACCCAGCGGGTTTTCTTCCTATTGGGGAGTGTTGTACATGCTGCTATGGCAATGTGTCCACTCACAGGATGAGTGGCGCTGCCCAATACTGTCACTATGGCAGTATGTCCATTCACAGGATGAGTGGCGCTGCCCAATACTGTCACAATGGCGGTATGTCCACTCACAGGATGAGTGGCGCTGCCCAATACTGTCACTATGGCGGTGTGTCCACTCACAGGATGAGTGGCGCTGCCCAATACTGTCACTATGGCAGTATGTCCATTCACAGGATGAGTGGCGCTGCCCAATACTGTCACAATGGCGGTATGTCCACTCACAGGATGAGTGGCGCTGCCCAATACTGTCACTATGGCAGTATGTCCAATCACAGGATGAGTGGCGCTGCCCAATACTGTCACTATGGCGGTGTGTCCACTCACAGGATGAGTGGCGCTGCCCAATACTGTCACTATGGCGGTGTGTCCACTCACAGGATGAGTGGCGCTGCCCAATACTGTCACTATGGCGGTGTGTCCACTCACAGGATGAGTGACGCTGCCCAATACTGTCACTATGGCGGTGTGTCCACTCACAGGATGAGTGGCGCTGCCCAATACTGTCACTATGGCGGTGTGTCCACTCACAGGATGAGTGGCGCTGCCCAATACTGTCACTATGGCGGTGTGTCCACTCACAGGATGAGTGGCGCTGCCCAATACTGTCACTATGGCGGTGTGTCCACTCACAGGATGAGTGGCGCTGCCCAATACTGTCACTATGGCGGTGTGTCCACTCACAGGATGAGTGGCGCTCCCCAATAAACTCGCCCCTCGGGGTAAAATTAAAAATGACTAAATCTCAATCATGTATCAAAATGCATCAAAACGTTTTCTTCCTGAGGATGGAAAGGTGTACTTAGGTGTAAGCTGGCTCTTGATAGCTGAGTGACTGCGTTTGCTATGTAGTGCTTCGGCTATGTCTAAGCATCTACTGTCGATGTATCTCGATTATTTCAGTACTGGTGGTCAGAATATCTATGGCGCTCGTCTGCCTGTGTATGTCAACGATATAATCTTTGATATAGCCATGTTGTTTGTGCATTGGCAGGTACTCACCTAGTTGTGATTGTGGGAGTTGAGCTTCGGCTCATTGGTTCCGCCTCTCAACTGACAATCAGAAAGAGATCTGATTGTAACACTTTCTCTTGTTCATCCTGGTACAGTGTCCTGTTTGGCTTATTGGGGAGATTTATATATTAATTTCATGGCATAAGTTCCCCACCAATCACGACAACTTGATCTATTTCACCGTTGTCCAGTCAGTGCCATAATAATTGTACTGCCATAACTCTGCATTTGTCTGCCCTCAACTTTATCCACCAATCTGTCGTCCACTTTTAAACCTTAATAAGGTAGACTTGAACCCAGTTAGAGCCTTTTGGATATATTGTTCTCTAAATGTTGTTATCATCGGGGCCATTTGTTAAGGTTATCTGGAATGTACCTGGAGAGTTTTCGAGAGTTCTTCTACCCCGAGCCCGGCCTGAGGACAGGTTCGAGTTAGGTTAGGTTCGGTTATATATAATCCTGCGTCCACATTCTTGGTGTGTGGTAAAGTAGAGGTCCGAGAGGGAGACCTCTCAGGCTCTCCACTTTCAACCAGTCAGAACCCGCATTTCATTCCATCAACCACTTTGGCTGGACGGTAGACCAACGGTCTCTCGTAATGCAAGTCGGAGTTCAATCCCCGACCATCCACAAGTGGTTGGGCACCATTCCTTTCCCCCGTCCCATCCTAAATCCTAATCCTGACCCCTTGCCAGTGCTATATAGTCGTGATGGCTTGGCGCTTTCCCCTGATGTCAGACCCTTCCACAGTGTTACCTAAGAAATGCCCCAAGGAAGCCCACACTCCCCCAGGGGCATCACCACTTGCTAAAGGCATCCAATGAAACAATGTTTTTCACTCTTAATTAACTGCATCAAAATTTATGGAAAAGAATGGGAGTAAATTTGAAACTGATTCTATGTTGTAAATTTGTAAAAGATGTGTACGAATGGCTTTTGTATTATGAAGGTAACTGGCTGATAGTGATCTGACCTCCACAACACACCACAACCACTCTACAGTCAGTCACAACACTACTGTTACATTCTAATGACTAATTACTTTCGCTGGCAGGCAGGCAGGCTGGCTGACTGACTGGCTGACTGGCTGACTGACTGACTGGCTGACTGGCTGCCTGCCTGCCAGCCTGCCTGCCTGCCAGCCTGCCTGCCTGCCTGCCTGCCTGCCTGCCTGCCTGCCTGCCTGCCTGCCTGCCTGCCAGCCTGCCAGCCTGCCAGCCTGCCTGGCTGTGTAACTGACCTGGGGCTGGTAGACGACGCCGCGGTGCCCGGCGGAGATCTCGAGGGTGAGGTTGTGGAGGTGTCTGGTCATGGGGTCGACGGTGACCCAGGCGCTGACGATGACCACGTCCACGGCCAGCAGCACCATGATCACTGTGATGAGCTGCTTGTCCTTCAGCAGCTGTGGGGCAGACACACACACACACACTCGGCAACCTGTCCTCTTAAAAAGAACGTCGCTTTTGGCCGTTTGTCCGTATGGCCGAATTTGGACGTAATTTGAAAATGAAAAAAAAATGAAAATAAATTTGGGATTTTTTTTCAACAACAGTAAGTTAAGGGTCCTCTGATAGGTTAGGTGGGCAGGAAATTCTCATAAAGTTTCAAAACGATATGAAAAACGTTAATTTAAAGTGAACTCTTATAATCTCTGCGCGTAGGCGAGACGACTCAAATAGAAAACGGAACAGAACGTCACTTTTGTGAGTCAATTTCATTTCAAATTACGTCCAAATTTGGCCATAACGCGCATACGGGCGAAAAGTGACGTTATTTTTAAGAGGACGGGTTGCTCTCAGGGCGGCCGGACACATTGTGAGGGACCAGAGACACATATATGAATATAGTGAACACTGTGAACAGCTGAAGAGAGGGAGGAATACATTATAAACACCACGGGCTGAACACTGTACATTGTTCACCTGTTCACAGACAGGTAACACACCTTGTTCCTGACGACGCCGGCGCTGTTAGACCTGGTGAAGATCTGGTGAACACGGTATGTCTTGGTGAACATGGAACCGAACGCCAAGGAGAACCCCGCTGACAGGAGGTAAGCCCGAGCCTGTAGAGAACATCACACACCTGTAAGAACACCTGTTCACTTTGAAGAACACGGCACTACAAGCAACATTGTACTCATTAAAGAATATATATGATACATATTGATGAACACAAAACACACATGAACATGTTGCACATTGATGCACGCAACACTCATTGATGAACACAGCACATGATGGTGAACAATGATGAACACATCACATGTCAGTGACCAATGATGAACGTATCAGATGTTGGTGAACAATTTGAACAATCATTGTGCTATTTATATAGCACAATGATTATAATTGTGCAAGTTGTGTAATAATTGTATATGTTTTGTAAGTGTATTTGTGGGAGTTGCATAGTTGTGTATGTAATGTATATGTGCTAGTTATGTATTGTTCGTATTTATTCAAGTTGTGTATTGAGTATATTTGGGCAAGTTGTATTTTAATTGTGTATTTGCTGTAATTGCATTGTGTGAGTTGTGTATTTGTGCTAGTTGTGTATTTTAGGTGTTTGGGGCAGTTATGTATTGTATGTATTTGTGCTGGATATGTATTTGATTACATTTATGCAAGTTGTGTAATAATTATGAAAGATGTGTAATAATTGTGCAAGTTGTGCATTAACTGCATATATTGTGTAATTGTGTATGGATGAATTGTGTATATGTTCCTGTTGTATATTGATTGTCATTATACAAGTTGAACAATTATATAGCAAGTTTGGTTGTATTAATTTGTGTAAAGATATATAATAATTACATAATTTGTGTATTAATTGTCCAAGTTTCTTAATAATTTTTGTGCGAATATTGTATTTATGCAAGTTGTATTTTAATAAAGTGGAACTGATGCAACTGTATTTTAATGCAAATTGTGTATTTGAGTAAGTCCTGTATAAGTTATCTGAAAAAAATAGATCTTCGTGTGCATGCACGAAACAGTATTTTGGTATATGTGTCAGTGTGTTGGGTACTACAGCTGATGACTTATCTATTAAGAACATAACATAAGAATGAAGGTAACTGCAGAAGGTCTATTGCCCCATACGAGGCAGCTCCTATTTATACCCACCCAAACTTAAATATACTGAACGAGTATTTGGATAGGGACGAGATTTATGTTACATTGGATTTGTTACAGTGAGGTGTGTGTGATTGTATTTAGGGTAATTAATGAGGTGCACAAGGGATTAGCATTGAAAGATGGTTTTAAAAATGAAATGCCTGAGTGCTGATAGGGCTTTGATTCGAGAATTATATATTTTAGTAATGTAAATACGATAAGTCTCTCTTGGTTGGAGACTTCAACAGGACGTTGAGTAATGATCTTTTTGCATTTTTTGGGCACTGGGGAAACTGTGTGAGCCGGGAGCATGTACAATCTTTTTCTTGCTTTTAAATCGATCTCTACTACAAGTATTTCAACCAATAAGCTATTCTCTTGTTAGGGGAAGAGCGAATGAATGGGTCTCCTCCGGGGTATATAGGTGATGTGTTTGAATGGTATAAGTAGATATAAGGGGATGACGATAGGGTATAATTAAGCATTAGATAAGATTTAAAATTTATTTGGGAAATAATATGGGTAAATACAGGTGTGTATATGATGATATTTTATGCCTGACTTCTCATACACGGGGATTCTGCAGTTTTATCTAAAGGGTGTAGAGGAGACACCAGTGAGGGTGTAGAGGAGACACTAGTGAGGGTGTAGAGGAGACACCAGTGAGGGTGTAGAGGAGACACTAGTGAGGGTGTAGAGGAGACACTAGTGAGGGTGTAGAGGAGACACTAGTGAGGGTGTAGAGGAGACACTAGTGAGGGTGTAGAGGAGACACCAGTGAGGGTGTAGAGGAGACACCAGTGAGGGTGTAGAGGAGACACCAGTGAGGGTGTAGAGGAGACACCAGTGAGGGTGTAGAGGAGACACCAGTGAGGGTGTAGAGGAGACACTAGTGAGGGTGTAGAGGAGACACTAGTGAGGGTGTAGAGGAGACACTAGTGAGGGTGTAGAGGAGACACTAGTGAGGGTGTAGAGGAGACACTAGTGAGGGTGTAGAGGAGACACTAGTGAGGGTGTAGAGGAGACACTAGTGAGGGTGTAGAGGAGACACCAGTGAGGGTGTAGAGGAGACACCAGTGAGGGTGTAGAGGAGACACTAGTGAGGGTGTAGAGGAGACACTAGTGAGGGTGTAGAGGAGACACCAGTGAGGGTGTAGAGGAGACACCAGTGAGGGTGTAGAGGAGACACTAGTGAGGGTGTAGAGGAGACACCAGTGAGGGTGTAGAGGAGACACCAGTGAGGGTGTAGAGGAGACACTAGTGAGGGTGTAGAGGAGACACTAGTGAGGGTGTAGAGGAGACACCAGTGAGGGTGTAGAGGAGACACCAGTGAGGGTGTAGAGGAGACACGAGTGAGGGTGTAGAGGAGCCAGGAGTGAAGGTGTAGAGGAGACACTAGTGAGGGTGTAGAGGAGACACTAGTGAGGGTGTAGAGGAGACACTAGTGAGGGTGTAGAGGAGACACTAGTGAGGGTGTAGAGGAGACACCAGTGAGGGTGTAGAGGAGACACCAGTGAGGGTGTAGAGGAGACACCAGTGAGGGTGTAGAGGAGACACTAGTGAGGGTGTAGAGGAGACACTAGTGAGGGTGTAGAGGAGACACTAGTGAGGGTGTAGAGGAGACACTAGTGAGGGTGTAGAGGAGACACTAGTGAGGGTGTAGAGGAGACACTAGTGAGGGTGTAGAGGAGACACTAGTGAGGGTGTAGAGGAGACACTAGTGAGGGTGTAGAGGAGACACCAGTGAGGGTGTAGAGGAGACACTAGTGAGGGTGTAGAGGAGATACTAGTGAGGGTGTAGAGGAGACACCAGTGAGGGTGTAGAGGAGACACTAGTGAAGGTGTAGAGGAGACACTAGTGAGGGTGTAGAGGAGACACTAGTGAGGGTGTAGAGGAGACACCAGTGAGGGTGTAGAGGAGACACCAGTGAGGGTGTAGAGGAGACACTAGTGAGGGTGTAGAGGAGACACTAGTGAGGGTGTAGAGGAGACACCAGTGAGGGTGTAGAGGAGACACCAGTGAGGGTGTAGAGGAGACACTAGTGAGGGTGTAGAGGAGACACTAGTGAGGGTGTAGAGGAGACACCAGTGAGGGTGTAGAGGAGACACTAGTGAGGGGTGTAGAGGAGACACTAGTGAGGGTGTAGAGGAGACACTAGTGAGGGTGTAGAGGAGACACCAATGAGGGTGTAGAGGAGACACCAGTGAGGGTGTAGAGGAGACACTAGTGAGGGTGTAGAGGAGACACTAGTGAGGGTGTAGAGGAGACACTAGTGAGGGTGTAGAGGAGACACTAGTGAAGGTGTAGAGGAGACACCAGTGAGGGTGTAGAGGTGACACTAGTGAGGGTGTAGAGGAGACACTAGTGAAGGTGTAGAGGAGACACCAGTGAGGGTGTAGAGGAGACACTAGTGAAGGTGTAGAGGAGACACTAGTGAGGGTGTAGAGGAGACACTAGTGAGGGTGTAGAGGAGACACCAGTGAGGGTGTAGAGGAGACACCAGTGAGGGTGTAGAGGAGACACTAGTGAGGGTGTAGAGGAGACACCAGTGAGGGTGTAGAGGAGACACTAGTGAGGGTGTAGAGGAGACACTAGTGAGGGTGTAGAGGAGACACCAGTGAGGGTGTAGAGGAGACACTAGTGAGGGTGTAGAGGAGCCAGGAGTGAGGGTGTAGAGGAGCCAGGAGTGAGGGTGTTGAGGAGACACTAGTGAGGGTGTAGAGGAGCCAGGAGTGAGGGTGTAGAGGAGCCAGGAGTGAGGGTGTAGAGGAGACACTAGTGAGGGTGTAGAGGAGCCAGGAGTGAGGGTGTAGAGGAGCCAGGAGTGAGGGTGTAGAGGAGACACTAGTGAGGGTGTAGAGGAGCCAGGAGTGAGGGTGTAGAGGAGCCAGGAGTGAGGGTGTAGAGGAGCCAGGAGTGAGGGTGTAGAGGAGCCAGGAGTGAGGGTGTAGAGGAGCCAGGAGTGAGGGTGTACAGGAGACACTAGTGAGGGGTGTAGAGGAGCCAGGAGTGAGGGTGTAGAGGAGCCAGGAGTGAGGGTGTAAAGGAGCCAGGAGTGAGGGTGTAGAGGAGCCAGGAGTGAGGGTGTAGAGGAGCCAGGAGTGAGGGTGTAGAGGAGCCAGGAGTGAGGGTGTAGAGGTGCCAGGAGTGAGGGTGTAGAGGAGACACTAGTGAGGGGTGTAGAGGAGCCAGGAGTGAGGGTGTAGAGGAGACACTAGTGAGGGTGTAGAGGAGACTCACGGTACAGATGACAGGGAAGCAGTGAGGGGCAGGCAGGGTGGCGTGGTCCAGCCCCAGGAGGATGACAGCGGTGTACACCAACACACATCCCACAACAGTCGTGTTGTTCAGCCGGGGACTGGAGAGCTTGATGTACCTGCAGAATACCGCACACTTGCTACTGATAGGTGTAGTACACATGTGCTATGTTCTTTCTCACACACACACACACCACATGTCACAAGGTACTTGTTCACATGAGGACATGTTATTCAGTTACTACTAATCTCTTCCACCTGACGCCAACACCTCACACCCACACCTCACACCCACTCCTCACAGACAGTACAGTCTGTCTCTCACTTCCACCCTACACCAATGAAAATAGACAGGTTTGCTCTGAGAATTCAGAAAACAAGTACCAAGAACAGTCTCAAGGTATGGCACCAATGCTGATATAATTACAAAGTAAAGGAAATAAAAAAGTACCTGACATAATTGCAATGGTGGAAACAAAACTAAATAATACGATTTTGGATGAAATATTTCCAGGGGAATACTAAGAAATGAGGAAAAACTTAAACATAGCTATGGAGGAGGAATTACATTCACCACAAATTGAAGGTGGAACTTAAAGGAACTAGATGACCAAAAATACAAATGGATACACAGACCATATCATCGAGACTCAGGCAGGGGCATGTGGGCAGAAAGATGGAGGTCCGGACAATATACAACCCCCAGGCTAACAACAGAACACCCTGACAGACATATGGTGACAACAATAAAGTATGCATAGATGACCTGCAGCGAGCAGCAACTGCAGCAAGCAGGGCGAAACGTAAGAGTCTACTAAGACTATGTGAGACTACTGTGTGCACGTGTGTACTCACTTGAGCCTGCGGTAGGTAAGGTTGAAGATGAGGAAGGCGAGTGCCAGCAGGATGCCCAGGCTGGCCAGGGCGGACATGATGACGAAGGCGGCTGGTGCGATGGTGTCCACCCTCACTTTGAACACCCTGGAGGCTGGCACCTCCCCGCCAGGCCACACCAGGGCCTGGCACCCAGGGCACTCCAGGTCCAGAGCCGCCTCCTCTGGGTGGTACAGTGCCACCTTCACCGGATCACCCTCTGTGGGCAAGAACAGTGCTGGGAGTTAGTGTAGATAGTGTTATGGCCAATCTTTATTTATAAAGGAGAATGTGTTTGTTCAAGGTTGGAGGACAGACACTTGGAGCTAGCCTCACCCAGCTTTGCAGGGGGAATGATCTGGGGTACTGAACGGGCATAGGCTGGTCGGGGTCGACAGAATTAGAGAGAGAACAGCATGCCAGGGTCGCATTCTGACCCCCACGACGACTTTTCGCACCACCCACACCCTAGCTAAATATTTTGAAAACATAAATTCCAAACGATTCTTTTCTGACAGTAATATACACTATTATTATTCACTGAACTCTGGAAAATAGACACAAATTTTCTGATACTCCTACTTTGTCCGTAGTAGCATAAACCAGATGAACCTGAAGCCACGCCCTTTTCTCAAAACAAACAGGTAACTATTATATATGTAAATATTTCACACATGTACGCTGTTCCCACCAGCAGACCATCCACAAACCTATGGTAGACTATTATATTATTTGTATAAGAGAGAGACGGGCAGACAGAGATAGTCAACGATACAACAAAGACAGAGAAAGAGACAGGCAGATACAGGCCAGCAGACAGACCAGGATGACCAGGGGCAATGAGACAGTACAGAGACGGAGAGAATGATGGAGACGGGGGAGAGAAGACAGTGTGAAGAGAGGTGAGAGAGAGAGAGAGGAGAGACAGGTGGAGAGGGTGGGAGGAGATGTGTGTCGGAAATCTCAGACACCCCAAATACTATCACCTAGTACGACGAGATAAATTTATTGTGCTAGGAAATCAAATTTACTAATATTACTAACAAATAGCGTAGTGTTGCCGAATTCTTCTTACAATACATGGCCGCCCAGTTCCTATGAGAACAAACTATTTAAATAAATTAAATTAATCCCAGTCTAACCTTTGTTTAATTTACTAGGTAATTTAAATTGGCAATTGTTTTAATTCATTAAAACAAATTATACTTCAGTTTCTAGGTAGAATTTACTGTGGCCACAATCACCTGATTCCGGTCGACTAAAAGTCATTAACCGAATATTATCTACGCATGTGTGTTTTTATCTAATAACACTTGGGTTCAATAATATAAACAGCGGAAAACCGTCTGTTGACACCTAAAGTAAGTTATTACGACGTAAAATAACGTCGGTAACGCCTTATTAAATAGTAAGACAGAGTAAAATATCGTGACCTGTATGACGAGATCACGCACCAATAGGAAGCTAGAGGGCGCGCGCGTCACTCTGCTGAGAGAGATGTCAGCCATCTTGACTGGTGCCCCGGGAAGATGGCATTTAGCATCGTAAAATTTGAGGATCATCCGTGCATTAACGAGTTCCCTACGTTGCTGACAGCTTCATCCAACATTGAGGACACCACGTCTGGTCGGATAAGTAATCTAATCATTTTTTATGGCCATAAATTTAGTGACAGATTATCCAATCGTTAGGATATAGGATTATTAAATAAACCTAGTAAGTTTAATTCCTTGAATCAGTTGATTCTTCCAATGGAATTAGTAGATATAGCTGTAATTCAGTAGAAATTACATTGTGTACTTTTCACAGCCTGGAATTATATCTACGAGAGGGGGTCATCTCAACTCGAATCACGTGTCCACGACGTCATCCCGTTGAGACTGAATTATAAGGTTTACGGAAGACATACTTCTCATTATCTACTCTATAGCTAAGCTGACAATTATTTAGTTATGATATTGTAGTTAGTTTACTAACTCCATAACTATTATTACTTATAAACTTTATTAAAATTATGCAACATATTATATTCATTAGGTAGGTTTAGCAGTATTAAATCTATCCCCCAAATAGTGTGGAAGTGGAAGTATCTAACTAACCATTAATTTTATACAGTCCACTTATCCAATATATTCATCTAGATTTATTAATTAATTTGTGATTATAGTAAACTATATGTTGGAAGAATTTCCAACATATATTTTACATGTTTTACCAATAACAACCTAAAAAAAGCATGTTTTTACCTATTACAAGTGTGGCATGTATATAGTAGGTATATAAAAACACGCGCGTATTCGAATGCAAAGTTGTGTCATAATTTCAAAGCAATTGGTATAGAGGTTTCGAAGATTTCTCTCACATGAAAAACAGAATTAAAAAAAAAAACATGTTTTTACCTGTCATAGACATGCCATTTATATAATATGTATATTAAACACTCTCGTATACAAATGGAACGTTGTGTCAAAATTTCAAAGTAATCGGTGTAGAACTTTCGGATTTTAGCGATTTTGAACAAACGAACATTTACATTTCTATTTATATAGATTTTTACATACAACAAGAGTTAAGTCACACAGGATATCGGTAACACCAGGTTGTTGGCCATAAGCAATTATAATGTCACACCTTTCAAGACTTAATGTTCACAGGTTGAAGAAGTGGCCCCCTCTTGAGAGGGTGTGGGACTCCCATTTAAATCTGCCCAGCTGACAGAGTTGCCAGAGGGCGTGAGAGGAGAGCTGCCGACGATCCGACGATCTCCAGAATATTTATTATATATATCCATTCATGTACCTTTATATATATATATATATATATATATATATATAAATGTCATATTTTTACTGACGTCTTTGAGTGTTCCTCAATATTATCTGTACGAGCATACACGAGTGATATTGCAGCTCCACCTATTGAACAGTAAGTTTTTATATGGAAATTTCTTAGTGGCTGGCAGTGTTAGAGTAACACAGACATTTACAGAAACGTACGCTAGGCTAGTACTGTTTCAACAATGCAAGTGAAGCAACACTTTTGCTATCAGGCAACAAAGTGCATAACCACTGAACTGCATTGCTGGAGTGCAGATATATTAACCCAGCTGGCAACCTTATTGAATTGTAGAGAAGCGCAGGTGTGGAAGAGAGACCTGCGACCCTTTTGTTACGGCGGGCAGGACTCAGAGGAAGTGCTGTTGAAGATAAACCTGAGTCTTCCTTCACTCCTCCGTGGGGCAAGGCCGGAACTGCTGGTGGCAGTTTTCCCCGTGGGTGAGTGAAAGTCTCCCAGGGTGAATCAGTGGCACCCAGGTGGTGGGAGCATAGACCTGCGGTGGTGGGCATTACGTGGTCCTCACCTTTGGGACCAAATGACTCTAGTGAGTTACGAGAGTCAGAGAGAGACTGACTATTCTTTCTCCTGAACCCCTAGGAGCCCCCTGGCTAGCCCAGCCCACCCCTTGTAACACTTTATAACACTTTCCTCCTTTGTACCTCATTCCTTCTCCTCCCATGTTCTCTCATTCAATAACTTCCCCTTTCTCCTGACCACTCTTCCTCATCCCTCTCTTCTATCTCTCTACCTCCCTCACCCCTATGAGCTTTCTTCATTCTTCCTTTCTATTCTCCTTTCATTACCGATACGTTACAATGATGACAGCGGTGTTGAACAATGTTTAAAGTAGATAGTGTTAGTTAACATTGTTAACTAACGTGTCTCTACCCCTCAAGCGCTATCAGGGAGACTTTGCCAGGTGTTAAATATTCGCAGTTTACCGAGTTTTTCAGCTTAGAAGATAGTGAATCTCAGGCGATGTGTTCTCGTGGTTTTGGAGGGCTGTAAAGTTCAAGGAATGTTCACCAGAACTTGAGACTTGTGATAGTGGGTAATATTTGGCGACTGGGACACTTAGCAGTTGGCGGCAGGTTGTGGAGGTCAGGTGAGTGAGGGAGGTGACCCGCTATGACCCAGGAGGGCCTCCAGCCTCGCTGGTACACTGGTCCAGCGAGGCTGGAGGTATTATCAGTTCCAGTAATATAATAAACCTAAATGCAGTAATAATAAAAGCAGGAACACTGTAGCAGCTGTGTTACTGGGAACACTGTAGCTGTGTTGCTGGGAACACTGTAGCTGTGTTGCTGGGAACACTGTAGCAGGTGTGCTGCTGGGAACACTGTAGCTGGTGTGTTGCTGGGAACACTGTAGCTGGTGTGTTGCTGGGAACACTGTAGCAGGTGTGTTGCTGGGAACACTGTAGCTGGTGTGTTGCTGGGAACACTGTAGCTGGTGTGTTGCTGGGAACACTGCAGCTGGTGTGTTGCTGGGAACACTGCAGCTGGTGTGTTGCTGGGAACACTGTAGCTGTGTTGCTGGGAACACTGTAGCTGGTGTGTTGCTGGGAACACTGTAGCTGGTGTGTTGCTGGGAACACTGTAGCTGGTGTGTTGCTGGGAACACTGTAGCTGGTGTGTTGCTGGGAACACTGTAGCTGGTGTGTTGCTGAGAACACTGTAGCTGGTGTGTTGCTGGGAACACTGTAGCTGTGTTGCTGGGAACACTGTAGCTGTGTTGCTGGGAACACTGTAGCAGGTGTGTTACTGGGAACACTGCAGCTGGTGTGTTGCTGGGAACACTGTAGCTGCGTTGCTGGGAACACTGCAGCTGGTGTGTTGCTGGGAACACTGTAGCTGTGTTGCTGGGAACACTGTAGCTGGTGTGTTGCTGGGAACACTGTAGCTGGTGTGTTACTGGGAACACTGCAGCTGGTGTGTTACTGGGAACACTGTAGCAGGTGTGTTGCTGGGAACACTGTAGCTGTGTTGCTGGGAACACTGTAGCTGTGTTGCTGGGAACACTGTAGCTGGTGTGTTGCTGGGAACACTGTAGCTGTGTTGCTGGGAACACTGTAGCCGTGTAGCTGGGAACACTGTAGCTGGTGTGTTGCTGGGAACACTGTAGCTGGTGTGTTGCTGGGAACACTGTAGCAGGTGTGTTACTGGGAACACTGTAGCTGGTGTGTTACTGGGAACACTGTAGCTGGTGTGTTGCTGGGAACACTGTAGCTGGTGTGTTGCTGGGAACACTGTAGCTGGTGTGTTGCTGGGAACACTGTAGCTGGTGTGTTGCTGGGAACACTGTAGCTGGTGTGTTGCTGGGAACACTGTAGCTGGTGTGTTGCTGGGAACACTGTAGCTGGTGTGTTGCTGGGAACACTGT